TGTTTGATAACTAGTTTTCACCTTTTACTTACCATACACAGAGCTATGAAGCTCTACACCCTCTGGCATAGAGTACTGCCCAAAATGATCTTTTATTATTTTCTTTCTCTGCCTCACTCTGCTGTTATGTTACTGGTTTTTCTTCCTTCATTTCACAAATAGATTGGTTTTTATTGGCAGTGCTGGGATTCGAGCTCAGGGCTTCACACTAATTAGGTAGGCACTCTACACTTAAGCCATTCTATCAGTCCTCTTTTTTGTGTTGGGTATTTTTAAGATAAGGTCTTGGTAACTATTCACCCAGGGTGGGCTTTGAACTGTGATCCTTCTGATTTCCGCCTCCTGAGAAACTAGGACTAAAGGTAGGAGCCACAGGTGCCTGACTTTCATAGATTTTAAAACCGATTAATTTCATTGTCTCCACATTTCACTTTGCTAAAATGAGTCTCCCCATTACCTATTACCATTTTTTCACTCTGATAGGCCATTCCTATAAATATAAAACCACAGTTTTAACTCTTTTAGTTAATAAGCAAAAGACAAAAATCACAAATTCTTTCCTAGATCCTGCTTCTTCCTTTACCTATTGTCTTACTTCTTTATTCACCTTTCTCAAATTTTTTGAAACATTTATCCCTGTGAACTATCTACATCTCCCTTCCATTTCTCCCTTAAAGCTACTTCAATCAAACTGTCACCTAAAATTACCTTTGTCACAGTCACTATGACTTTCACTAACTCAAATGATCAGTTTGAAAGCATACTGTATTAGTTTATCGTCCACACTTGACACAATCAACTAGTTCTTTGATATTTTTTCTTATTTGATTTTCAGGAAATCTTATATTGTCTTGTTTTTCCACATTTCTCATTTACTCTTATTCTTAATTTAATTATGCTGACATTTTTTTAAGTGTTGAAAGTCCCTTTTTAATTTTATAATGTCTTTCACTAGTACAAGAATAATCATTTCTACTGCTAAATGTGTACGTTCACTTCTCCAGCCTACACCTTTAATCTTGAACCAAGATTTGTATCTTGGTCACCTCCCTGAGGTCTTCACATGGTTATTTATTAGTCAACTAAAACTTAACATGTCCAAAACTAAGTTCCAGATGACCCCTCCAAAACTGGTTTATTAATTGCCTTCCTATTGTCAGTTAAGGCAAATTCACTTCATTCATTTATCCAAGCCAAATAACCTAGAGCTGTCACTTCCTTTTTCTTCAACTTCACAACTCTTGAAACTTTTGCTCCTCTTAACTCCACCACCAGAGTAGCTGGGAATAAAGGAGTGGGCCAGGACACCTAGCTCCACATTTTCTTTCTTATCATGCTCTAGATAAAGTGTATTATTTACCTTATTTATGTTGATAAATATTTATTATCTTTCTCCCTTGACAGAGCATAAGTTCTACATGAATGGTCTTTGTGAGGTCAGTCATGGAAGCACTTAGAACAATGTTTCAAATAGTAGATATCTCAGTAAGTACTTTTTGAATGAACATAAAATTCTATTAAGAATCCAAGTTACATTTGGAAATAATTTTAAAGAGAATATAATCCAGCTTTGCAGTGAAAGCTTTGTAAATGCAATATTTCGTTCTTTCCAACACTTTGCCCCATATCACCAAAGAAGATAATGCCAATCAGTATCAGAGTTTCGAGAAGCCTTTAATGCTTCAAGTGAGGAATCTGAAATCCCAAACACAGAGGTATCATCTATCAAAACAGAGTCAAAACTGAACCTAGAACACAAGCCCTTTCATTTTCATTTCACTACAGTGGAATCAATTCACATCATCAAGTGTCCTGAAGTTTATCATCCAGAAATAATGTATGGAAATTTAGTAATCCTGTTGGGTGATGCTCCTAACTGGTTGGTCATAATCAAGAGCCTCCTGACTTAGCATGTTCAGCTTGCAAGTGATGCATAGACTGCCTATCAATATCCTCTGTGCAGCATGATTATTGATTGGCAGTCTGTATTGTCAAAGTCCAGCACAGGCTATAGTAAGCTTTATCTCACTGTCCGAACTGCAGAGAAAAAATTTGAATGTACAGTAGCTTATGACAAGTTCAGGGTATTTGAATTAGAGAGGTGAAGTTAAACCATTTTTAATTTTAATCTAAGAATCATGAATATCTATCTCCCTGTTCACATTTTTCTCTTGAATTTTGTCATGAATTGGAAATGTTATATGAACATTGCATACTTATAAGGAAGAACCCTTCATAAAATGTCACCTGAAATAAAATATGTCATTTTCATGATAATATCTTTAAAATGTATGAGGATATTAAAGGATGTAAAGGTATTAGAGGGCCAGGATTAGATACAAAAGTTTTACTTTAATTATAAAAATAATTTCATACACCAATTATGTGCCTAGTGCAACATAAAAGGAATACTATTTTATATTTAAGTAACTATATAAAATACTACAAATTCACTGGTACTGTTACTTTGAATTTTCATTTGCGGGAATAGTTCAGATATTTGTATCACTTTCTCAAAACATGCCAAATAAGCTCATTGTTGATATATCATATACCAAAAGTTTTGACAAGTCTTTCAAAACATTTATAATAACATTAATTTTAAAAGAAAATAAAAGAGTGCTTTTCTTAGTTGCTATTTTCTTCCACAGTAAAAGCAAAATAAAATGGATATCTTTGCAAATGAAGAGAAATTTGTGGATTCCATGCTACTATTGGACAAGCTTTATTTCTCTGGTAATTCATATAGCTAAAACAAATAAACAAAGAAAGAGAAAACACAAATCAGGCTGGGTACAATGGCTCAAGCCTGCAATTTCAGCTACTCAAGAAGATATGGTTGGAGGCCAGCCAGGGCAAAAGGTTAGCAAGATCCTTTCTCAACTGCTAAGATGGTGGTGACACATCTGTGATCAAAGCTATGCTTGGAGGCCCTAGGTAGGAGGATCACTATTTGAGGTAATCCAGGGTGAAAAGCTAGACCACATTTGAAAAATAACCTAAAACAAAAAGGGCTGGAGACTTGGCTTAATTAATAGAAGGCCAATTTAACAAGTGTGAGATCCTGAGTTCAAACCCCAGAACTGTCAAATACAATATAAAATAACCCCACAAATCATTACTAAGAAGGCTTAAAATGAAATGGGAAAATGACTCCATGAGGAAAATAGAGATATTGTGATCCACAGTGGCAGTGCTAGATTTTGCTTCTAGAGTTCAGTGGTAACAAAGGAACTGGTGCTAAGAAGCAATGTTTGTAATTTCTTCATTTCCTCTATTAGTCAATTATTTTGCAATTTTAAAAATTGCTATTTTATTGGGATCATTTCTATATCAATAATACTATAATTATTGGAAAATTCGTGACATCATCATCAACCTTCATATGTATTAAATCACTGAAGAAATAGCAATTTCTAAAATAGTTTTAAAATTCTCTAATGTTTTAAACCAGAATTCTGCTGGGTTTCATTGCACTCTGATACAAAATTATCATGGACAAACATAAAGTGATATAATTCTGAGTATTGAGGGATTGGCATTGTTAAGGATAAAAACATAGGTATGGATGTGTTCCTTTTGTTGTATATTAAAAAATACGTTTTTGGATGTAACCAGCCAACTGTGACTTTTTTAAAGCATTTATCTGTTGTTTTTTTGCAACAGTCCACAATGGTATGAGATTTTATTTGTTTCCATTCTCCTTACCTTGTCTTATTGAAACCTTATTCCCCAAATTTTCCTCCTATCTTTGCTAGATCATCCTTCTTGGCCTGAGCCTTATATCTTGCTGGCACTCGATGTACAATGAGTTCCATTGTCTTCTCATACCACATCTCTCTAGCCAAATTTATCAATCCAGATTTTAGTTATCTAACATGTAGCTTTAACAGTGTGTCTCAAAGAAATTTCAAAATAGTGCATTCAAAACATCTCAATATTCATCGTGTTCCTACTCCAAATTTGACTTTCCTTCAAAATTTTCCAATTCACCTAACTTTGCTATTGCCTCACTATCAGAACAAGTTAGGAAACCAGGTTTCATTTTAATACTACCTTCTTTCTCACTCCCCAATCCACTACAGATACTTTTTTTTGTATCTCCTGCATATCTCTGAATTTACTCAATTTCTTAATCTTGTGAATAGGACACTAATCCAGGCTACTATTATCTGTTCTTGGATTGCTGAAATCATTTCTTAAGTGATCTTCGTTTAACTAATAGAAAAATCAAATCAGTCTCTACCATTCAGTAACATTTGAAATTTCAAACCTCTTCATATAAATGTTTTGGATAAACTCCCATTGTTATTAGGCATAAAAGTCCTTCCTGCTCTAGTGTTTAACTCTTTCTTCATCAATTATATCATACAATTTTTTCTTTCACTCAACTACTGACTGATAATATGCTCAATATTAGTAGATATAGATTCTAAAAATAGCCTAAAGATACACTTCATTTAAAAGTATTATGCCCTAAAAGCATGTTCTGAGTACTCTTCAGTGCTCTTTAGAGCATTTCTTGAGTCTCTAAAGTAACAGATCTTGCTCACCCAAAATAATGGTATTTAATTTTCACTTTTGAATACCAGGATGTGTAAATGATCTATCTGCATAAGCAAAGGCAAATTACTTCTGAAACTATTTACTTAATTCGAAAGGAATCATCAAGTATGGACTAGCATGCTAAGTAACAGAACTGTCTAGAAACACATTTACTTCCTTAAATTGTGATAAAGTTATTGGTTACATTTCACTGATTGAATGTTAAAATAATACTGATGTAAAGCTCCATGTTTCAAATTTTTAGTTTGTTCTTTCAGCATGTCAATCCTTAAAAATATCCCTGAGCTCTGACAATGACCCTTTATAATTTTTCCATAACTATATGAACTTTTATATATTCAAACTTTTAAAAGACACATATCATAAGTTCTTTGTTCCCCTGTTGGCTTCACACAATGGCATCTTTGCTGAGTTAGTAGAAACTCTCTACTTACCAAATTGTAGGTGGCTCAGAACCTTCTATTTCTAAATAATCATATTTTTCTTCCATTTGGAAATCAGTAAATATGAGTGAAATAGTGTCCCCAGGCTCTGCTACAATGGTCCAAGTGCAATCTGCATTGTTATGGTATTCATTAGGAAAGCTAGGACTGGATATGATGCCACTGGATCCTCTCATTGTTCCACCACAAGCATCTTCAGCTGTTAAAAGCAACAAAAGAATAACTGTAAGTTATCAAAGTAAATACAATTAAGGCAACTCAATATTTTTAATAAAAATATCATTTTAAGTGCTGTAATATCAAAAGCATAATGCCCTAAACAAAATTAGAAGTCTATGAAGAAATATTCAATTATAAATATAAATATAAACTGCATCTTCCTAATTTTATAACCATTGGTTAGAATAGTAATGAACATAAGTAAAAACCTACATCCCCAAATTAGTTCTCAGGATAATAGCACTCTGTTTTTAATGTTTAAGCAAAGAAGTTAATAAAACAAAGAAATGTGTCTCTTAAAGTTTGTGATGGGACATCTTACTCACTGTTGACGAAAGAACTTTTTAATATTTGATGTAGGTATATATAATATAAAAACATGACTTAAGTGAGAATGTAATATAGTTTTCAGTGCTATGTTCCAATAGCTTTAAAATATTGTGGGGATGCAATTCAAGTCAAAGTATATCACATACCCAAAACATTTTAATTAAACAGCAATACTATATTAATTAATATATCATTAGATATATAATTCTCTACAAATCTATCAAACAATATAAATATTGTTACAAAATCATTCATATGATTTATATGTACACAACATTTAATGCAACTTTTCAACCAACTTTATGTTTGGACCATGATTCTGACTCCAGGAAGAGTAGTTTACTGTTGGCTGATGCTGTATCAGAGAGGTTCATGAACAGCTGTGGTAAGTTTAAAGTATAAGGAAAAGGCTGCTGGCTGCTGCTTCCTAGAGGAATTGAAACTGCAACATTTGCCTCATTATAGCATTGTTTAGGGCAAAGGAGTTAATAAGTTACAAGTTTCCTTGTACATTAAATTGTATCATGACTTACTCTGTTGCTTTAGCCCACTCAGGGAACTCCTTCAATTTAAAGTCATTTGACGAAATCTCTGTCGCCTTAATGACCAATTGTTACTTGATTTGATGAATAGCTCTAGAGCTTTGATAAATACAGAATATGAACATCTTTCTATTTAACTCCATGGTAAGCAAAGATTAATAGAATGTTTTGTTATTGGGGACAAGTTTATTGCTACTTCATGTGAATCAAGATGTGTTATTTTTTTTTCTGCCTCACTCTTTGTTCATTTAGCTGTATAATCTGTAAATTAAAATCATAAATGTTTTCCTATTAAAATATATTTAGCTTTCATCAAACACTATTTTATTTATTTTATTCATATGTGCATACAATGCTTGGGTCATTTCTTCCCCCTCCCTCCACCCCCTCCCCTACTACCCTCTTCCCCCCAACAGAAACTATTTTGCCCTTATCTCTAATTTTGTTGAAGAGAGAGTATAAGAAATAATAGGAAGGAACAAGGGTTTTTGCTAGTTGAGATAAGGATAGCTATACAGGGAGTTGACTCACATTGATTTCCTGTGCATGTGTGTTACCTTCTAGGTTAATTCTTCTTGAACTAACGTTTTCTCTAGTTCCTGGTCCCCTTCTCCTATTGGCCTCAGTTGCTTTTAAGGTATCTGCTTTAGTTTCTCTGCATTGAGGGCACACTATTTTAAATATGATATGTGTTATTACTACATTATTATTGCATTCCCTCTTTATGTTTTAGATAATTAGAATTAACTATTAGTCCTATCTAGACCATACACTGTATTATTGCAACTATTGTCTAAGACACACAATATACTGACTATCTAACATACCCATAAACTTGTCCTGCCACTCCACAACTCCAAATACAAGTCACTTCTAATCTTTGCCTTCTCAGTATCAACACCAAGAGTGGATAATACATTGGAAACAAAATACTACACTCTTATGCATTTTTAGTCCACACCTTATTTATACCATTTCTACTGGCTATTTATTTTTCTGCCTCTTAGACAAAAACTGAGGCAGACATTTTGGTTCATATTCAGCCTAGTTTTGAAAGTGTATTTTAGAGTTCTCACCACAAAACTGCTAAGTATGAGGTATTACATATGTTAGTGAGCTCAATTTAGCCATTCCACAAGTTATATATACCATCATGCATTGTTGATTATATGTTCTGAGAAAATATTTTACAGTTTTGAGAGGATCATAGAGTATACTTACATAAATTAAGATGACTATGACAGCAATAGGATGAATGACAGTATAAGACTACAGTTGTCTATGTGTCTGTCATTGATATGGCCATATTTAAAATCAACATATTGTATGCAACAAATGCACACAATTTTATAATTAAAAAACTCATTACTTAAAATAATTCAATTCTTCAATTAGTATGTCCAACACTGGTTACTCAAAAATTAACATCACTTGGTTAAGCTTCTTCTCTCCCTTCATGTGGGCTTGTGGCAGAAGGGGTAGAGATGAAGTAGAATGAGTTTTTGTTCTAGTTTTCCATGCTAAAATTTCTATTCTTTTGCCCTGTGTCAGGGAGCTCTCCAAGAATATCCTGCCATAGCAAGTACAAAAGGATCAGTAGTCAGGAATCTTCTTACTTGCCTGACATTGACTCAGAAGTAGTTACCACAAGCTTTGACAGATGGTGAAAGAAAGAAGGCTCAGGGCCTTTCAGATATATTCCCCTGACTCCTGCTCTTGGTGAGTCTCTCTGATCATCTGCCTACATTATTCTCTCACATCATGAATACCAACTATGTCTCCTCACCTTTCTAGGTGGGCCTTCTAAGCAGGATCTAGGACAATGCCAAAACAGAGCTCCTTCATGAAAATCCAGCATTTGGTTAAATGAAAGGATGTCATTCATTCATCTTCTGTGGAAATGCAGTTCATCCAAAACAAAATGCTTTGAGTTTTCACTAGATATTTAAATTTTTTCCATGATTTAATAATAATATATTACATCCTCTAAGTTCTAAGACATACAAATTAATTTCTCTACATGAACTCCTGACTTTCCTTAATGTCACATCACAAGGGAATCACTGCAAGCTCCTGAAACATGGAATGGAGAACAACTTAAAAAATAGCTCACTCTACAGCTTTTACTGTACAGTAATATAATCTTGATCCTACTTGAAATCAAGGATGTGAACTCAGTTTCTCCAGGATTCAACCCAAAGCTTTTGCCAATCCTTGTATTATGTTCTACATTTAGTACTTCTATTTGATCTCTTTATTACAACAGATAATCATAGAATTAGTATCCAAAAATTATGCAATATGTAAAGAATGCTATACATCTGTTGTGACCATACCTGAATACTATGTGATTTGGCCTTGACTTATACAGTATAGTATTTATTAAGAAATATATTTTATGTAACCATGTACTCTGACTATAGATGGATATATTATATAAATTGCTTAAAATATTTTTAGTTCCTTTTTTTCCTTTTTTATTATTATCATATCATTGTTGTACTAGGGGTACATTGTGATATTTGCAAAAGTGCTTACACTATATCTTAATTAAATGTATCCTCTCCATCATTCTCCTCTGTCTTTCACCATTTACCTCCTTTATCCTTTACCATTCACCTTAATCCCTCAGTTTCATTCCTGGAATAGTTCAACAGATCTCACTTTTCCATTTACATGTGTACATAATATTCCATTACATGAGTATGTAATATTTCTGCCATATTTGTCCTCCTACATCCTTTCCTTATATCCTCTCTCCTCCCACTGGTAGCAATCCCCAGACAGGACCTGTTTTACCTTCCTGACTTTGTTTTTGAGTAAAAAAAAGAGAGATTTTTGTTTGTTTAAGATATCTATACAGAGAGTTTCATTATGATATTTCCATGACATATGCATCCTGAATTGTTTCATCCCCTCCGCTTTTCTCCTATCAACCTTAGTCCTCTTCTTGTGATTTCAGTAGATATAAACATTCTGTATTCATTCTTGTTTAGAAAGTACATCAACCATCTTCACCTTCTATAGTTCCTTCTTTTACCTTCCACCTCCCATTAGTATCCTCCCATAGCTTAACTTGCTTTTCCTTCTTCACCCTGGTTATTTAGGTGTCTGCTAGCTGGTCAGAGGGATTTTTGCCTTGGTTTTATATCAGTACATGAATTGTGCCAAAGTCAATGTAACCTGCCTCTACTGCACTTCTTTGCTCTTTTTCCCCAACCCTGTGTTTCCTCATGTCTTATTCCTATGCAGATGTGATCTATTTCATTATTATCCACCATCTTGTCTTTTTCTTCTCCCTTGGTCTCCTCCACATGCTTTGTATATATTTTTATGTATATATAATATTGCTTGTACTTGTATTAGGCCCACTAGAACAAGTAAAAACATTAGAAAACCCATGGAGCTCTTGAATTAAATGTTGTACTCTTTCTGCTAAGTACCATTGTTTGGCTTCTAGTCAAAATGAGTTGGCATATCTCCTGTCAAGGCAGGAGAGAAACTTTTATACTTTCAACTCATTTTATTGGCCTCCAGGACTGCCTGTTTTGTAAGTGTTGTCTGCACATGTTTTGTCTGACAATTCCAGAAAGGGCATGTTTCACAAAAGGCTGTTCCATAAAATCATTTCTTAAGTGAGTCAAGATACACATGAGGTCATAAAGGTCATTTGTTAAAACTCATGGAAATTTAATTTTTATCAGTTTGGTCATTTGTTCAGGATGTATTATTGTTGATATCTACTAAGTACCAGGAGAAATCACAATAATCTGTCCAACTAAAATGAACAAAAGTTACTATGACACTTGACCTCATGGGTTATTCTTTCTAGGATTGAATTAAACTGTAAGGAAATTACAAAAATGCATTCATAGAATAACATTGCTGGAGGGTCCACCTAAGAAGAAATATTGAGAACAAATGCCATTCATTTCAAGGCTTTGAACTAGCTCAGAAATTCAGGAAAATAATCCTCTGAGGTTATGATTCTGAAATAATAACCCAAAGTGTGAATAGTAAGCACTAAGTTAATAAGAGGCAGAGAACACCTGTTCTAACAGGTTTCCTAATACTTGCTCTGGAATGGGCCTGAGTTGTAGAGGCTGTA